CAAGGTGAATAGTGTGACTGAAGCGAATTATGGAATTACTGAGCTGGAATGTTTGGCAGTCGTGTGGTTCATTAAATTGTTTAGACCCAACTTGTACGGTCGTAAGTTCACGATCGTGAGTGATTATGCAGCGTTGAAGTGGTTGATGTCCAGCCCGAACTTGACTGGAAAGTTGCACCGGTGGGCGTTGGCACTTCAGGAGTTCGAGTTTGGTGTGGAGTACGGACCGGGCAGTACTAATGTGGTTGCAGATGCTCTGTCAAGAGCACCGGTGAAAATGGCGTCAGCAGTTGGTAGACGACGGCGTGCCAAGCAGCGCGCTGCGGCCGACAAGACGGCTTCTGCTATAAACGACGTCGTCGGTGTGATGAACGAGATGAGCGTGGCGAGTGAAGCAAGTGGTGCGAACGTGATAGTACTACGGACGCGGAAAGCGTGACCGACGTGACGAACGGCACAAAAGTTGCACCGGACGGCAGCACGTCTGTCGCCGCGAGCGTGTCGAGCGCGGCAGCAAAGGATGCGAGTGACCCTCTGGGCACTGAGGATGGTAGCGTGGTGAGTGCAACTCCAGACGAGCGGCCAAGCGGAGCACCAGACGACGGGCAGGCCTTATCGAGGCACGAACCTCACGGTGAGCCAGCGGTGGCAGAGACGACTGGTGAGGACTCGGTGGGCGCGCAGTTGGCAACGACGGAGATTGTGACTGGAACAGGACAGCAACCTCGATCCTGAAGCCCAGGAAGAGATGATCAAGGCTGGAGGAGGCGAGTGATAACCTCGATACGACGGAGGCAACTGGAGCTACGGGTCCGCTGACTCGAGCCGCACGACGACGTCTGGAAGCGACGCGGGCGACGGAGACAACGCTTCGAGCGGCGAGCAGTGGAGCAACGATCGAGAGCAACGATGGAGCAAACGGCGAGCCGGATGTGCCGGTATGGACCCAGAAAGCGAGTGGTGCTGGGCTTGGTGACGACGGTGACGGCGTCGACAACCCGAAGAGCGTGACGAGCGACCTAAACAACGACACGTACGGTTCGGCGTGCCAAGTGAGCACAACACGGACACCACGACGGTGAGCGACACTAAGTCAAGACGGCGGGGACGGACGAAGTGGCCGAGGCCGCACAAGCGCGAGCGTCAGCACCGGTGGCAACGAGCGCGATGGGTGAAGGCACGGAACAACGTGCTCGAGTGGAACTGAAGTCATTGGTGAGGTGACTGTAGCTTGATGCCCCTAACATGCCTTACAACACGTACTTGACGCTGGTGAAGAAGCGCGGCACGTTCATCATGGTGGGCATCCCCAATGACGACGCGAAAATCAGTCCGATGTTAGTGGTGGCCAAGGGCATCACGTGGGTGGGCAGTCTCGTTGGTTCCCTGCAGGACACCACGGATATTGTAACGGGCCAATTATCTCGTCCTGCCGTGGGGCGGGTCGTCGCTCCACAGTGCTGCGCTGCGGCGTCCGCTACCACTAGA